ATGGTTGGTAAAACATTGGTTCATTGCCAATTGATTCAAATTTTACAAAATGGTAAATAATAAGAATTTTCTTGTAGTTGGTTCACATATTTTAATAATTTAGTAAATGTTTATAAATTTATGAATAAAAAAATTTTCATATTTATTTCTTCATAAATTGGTAAATGATAAATATAAAATTATCCTTGTAAATAAAAAATCTCGTAAATAAATAGGTTATAAAATAAAAAAAAATCATTTTCATCATATGTATAGGTTTTATTACAATTCTAATCATTGCTTTTTAAAACAATGCTGAAGAGTGAAGATAGTTCAAATAATAGCAAGTATCATAGAAAAAAGTGTACTTTGATACTTTTTTTTTGTGGACACAAAGGTCCAAATTTGCCATTATTTTTTTTTTCTTAAAGATTTCTTGTTGATTGCTACCATAACTGGACAGGAGTTGACCAGTCCTCACTTTCAAGGTTTGACCTAAATCAAAAATGTTTACACAGTCTTGTAGGTGAACTGCTATTTTCCACCCTGTCATACCAAATCTCACAGATGAAACATTACTAAACTCTTACTACTCTATCACTATTTCCATGGCAAATGTTCTGATGAGTGACAATTCTTAATTCCACCAGTTTAGACTTTCACAGTCAGAACCTGCAATGCCATGTACACACGATCACCTCATCCTCATTCCCTTTGTATTTTACTGCCAAGGAAGAAATTCCACTCAGTTTCTTCCCTAGAACTGTTACTTTGTGGAACAACCTCCTGAGAGGATGCTTTCTCAGTCACTATAATCTTAACCTCTTCAAGTCTACAGTCAAACATTACATATCCTACATATTCCCACAATATGTACTTCTTCCTCTCTTTATGTCTTTAAATCATCATTCAGTAACCCTCTACCTTGAGTGACTCTTGGGCCTTGTATTGGGTGAACAATAGTATGAAAAAAATTATAGATATGTGATATATATTAGGAATTGCAATAAATTACCCCAAATTTTTAAAGCCCTCATAAAATCAAGAAGCACAAAATTAAATGGTTGTTATAAATGAGACAATTGGTATTTTATATATATTTAAAAACTGATATGTTCAGCATAGTGAAGAATTCTGCCTGTATATCACAACATGCATTGTGTCATCATAATTTACAAACAGTAAATGCTGAATTTAAAAAATGTATTTAGAAATTAATATCTATAGGTTTTCCCTGATTTTTGATTATGAGCATAAGTATTAACACAAAGCCCTAAATATTGGAACAATATTCATTTGTTGAAGATATACATATGTAAACAAGAAAAAAATGTCCAGGTCAAGACTTATTAACTATAGTTGTATTAATACATACATAAATATATATATATATATATATATATATATATATATATATATATACACGGCACGGTGGAGTAATGGATAGCGGCTTGGATTGAGAAATTGGAGAGCCAAGTTCAAATTCCAGTCGAATCCATTACATTCACTTACGTGCTAATACCCTTGGGAAAGGTATGAATCCTCTTCTTCTCCCTCCAGCTATGGGCAAATAGCAGGACAGACGAGGTTCTATAGCCTTGGATGGCAACTGGTCTAGGAGAAGGATAACTCTGAATTCAAAACCTGCAGAGGGTCATTTGGGGACCTTGTGGCACGTAGTGCACCAGGTCTCTGTATTCGACCCTTCAAAAAGTGTGGATGGTTCTGCACGAAACCTTCACCACTATAATCAAATCTCATGTGCTGTTGTCGGGTTGTCGGTTTCCTAGGAACTGATGTGCTTGGCCCTCATACGTCAAATTCGACGGGAGAGTCAAGTATACACACACACACACACACACACACACACACACACTAGGTGCAACAGAAAAATTGTCCAAATTGTATCACAGCATAATTGTCCATCCAACAAAATGTTTAATATCTAAAAATGCACTAAACTAATTGAGTTTCTTTTTTCCATGTTTTCAGATAAGATATTTAGCCATCTTGTCACCATTTGTTGTAAGAATCACTGAGAAGCTCTTCGAGTTATTCAGATAGAAAGAGAACAGGTTCAAATAATTTCGTGTCAGCTCTACTATGTCTTCCCAAATGATCAATAGCGAGAGGAAAATTATCATTCAGGCCTTCGGTAATTGTACCAACATTCATACCCTGGCTTTCATCTTCAAAGTCCATTCAAGAATCATCAAGAGAATCATGAATATTCTTAAAAAACAAGGAACAGTAGAGAGGAAAACAGAATCATGAGGTCACAAAAGCAAGAAGGATTATCATTTAAACTTAGAGCTAACGAGATCAATTAGAAAAGATCCTACCCAATTCATAAGACGTTTGGCACACGAGAGAGGAATTTCAGCTACAACAATCCAAAGAGCAGTGAAAAAAGACCTGAAAATGAAATTATACAAGAAACCTGTGAAGCAACTTGTTACTCCAGGACAGAAAGAGAAAGTTAGAGAGGGCAAAGATCATATTGAATAAGTTGGAAAATGATACTGGAATAATATATATATATATATTTAAACTTTATTTCAGTCCTTCATAAGCTTTCGACCCTTAGCTATGATTAATTAATGATGAACATATTATTTTTATTTATGATAGATTTCATCATGATTCTTCTGTTAAGCTTGGAGAGTAATTATACGTTCTTATTGGTCAAAGTAAAGTGCAATAGTGTTATAAAACCTTGGAGAATTCCAGTAAGATATCTTTAATCATTTCTAAGATACAATGGTTCAGAGCTTAATCTAACAATTGGACAATTTTATGTAAAAGCATTTATTAATGAGTGTATTTGAAAAACGTTTTTCAAACACACTCGTTAATAAATGCTTTTACATAACGCGCAAAATAAAATGTAAGATATAAAATTAATAATACCAGAGCTAATTGAGTTTCTTCTAATGAACAGGGAGCACATCACGCCAGGTTATATTTTTATTATTACATAAATATACAGACACATACACATTAATGTCATTACTATTTAATAAAAAAATTTCTATATATATATCTTTGTCCAACTTTGTTATAAGATGGGGACATTAGTCTGACTATATAAGGTAAATATTATACATGTGCACGTAAGTTGTATACAGCACTGTTGGTGGGGCATACAATATACCAACTGCTGCCTCTGCAGAGGAGCAGGGAGCCATCTTCCAGGTGGTTGCTTGAGTACTCAAGCATAAATCCCAACCTATGTTTATCTATAGACTGAAATATAACAAAAAACAAAACAGATTTTGAAACTGGGGGAAAAGATGGCTTGTCAATTTTAGTGCGTTCAAAACTAAACTGCTTTCTATTAAGCATCTGAGAGACCCCTTTCTGCACTCCATCAGCATGGCTGATGCTATCCTCCAAGAAAGTGACTCATTGCATCTTCCAAAGCCAACATTCTCAGCTGTGATGAGGTGGAAATACTACAAAAATTCCATCGCCAAATCAGCTGCTAACAAAGTCGTTTCACTGTGTCAAGCGAGACAGTTTTTCTCTCTGGAATCTATCTTGCATATCTATAAGTCTACCATTCATCCATGTTTAGAATATTGCTGCTATATATGGTCCAGTGCCCCTGCTATTTTCCTGGAGCTCCTCAATAAGATCCAAAAAAGAATTAGCAATATTATTTGTCCTGATCTTGCAGCTCAGCTTCAGTCACTTGCCCATCGCCATAAGGTTTCCTCTCTATGCCATTTTTTTTACAAATACTTTCATGGTAATTGTTCAGATGATCTCTTTGCTATGGTACCTAGACTGTATCAATACTAGACTGGTGGTGAGATCTCATCAATTTACACTTGAGCTAGCCAGATGTAGCCATAACTTCAATACCAACAGTTTCTTATCCCACACTTCTTGCTTGTGGAACTACCTCCCAGCTCCTTACTTTCCAGTCAACTTTAATCTGCAAAAATTTAAATGTCAATTGCTATTTACTGTCCTCCTGATTGCTTTTTTCTCTTTCTACTAATTACTAATATTTCTGTTCTTAATTCCGCCACACCCAGTAACCCCTTTCATGCTAGTGGCTGTACTGCCTTGTTTGGGGCTGATACCGATTAAAAATAAATAAACCAACAAGGGTTTATAGGTCAAAATCAACCAACCCAATGCAATTTGGATATTCCACCATAAAAGAATGATACTGGTTTTGATTCAATGAATTCTTCAAGAACTTGTTGGAACCACTGTCCAAACAAAGTGTTGCATATTATCTGAAAGTAACAGGCTGGAGAATACACACCATGTAGAAGTAGTTACTGCCCCCGCTTCATGATTGTTTACAGTTTCATTTTTTTAACATGATGGTGGCCATTGTCAAGGGGTTTTGATTTTTAATGCATCACTTATACAAGCTACTTGCTCACTGTAACAGCCTGATGATAATCCCCAAAAAGTTTATTGCAGACTGTTTTGAAAAGTAGAGGGCATGCCCACATAAGTGAGTGGCATTCAGGTGAACATGATGGTGCAGCTTGTGATAATCCCAAAAGAGGTTATTGCAGACTGTTTTGAAAAGTAATGTCCATATAAGGGAGTGGGTGTAAGAAGAACATGATAAGGTTGATGATTGTGATCCTGAAAGAGTATTTTGCAGACTGTTTTGAAAAGTGGTTAGGGATGCTGAGATAGGTGTGTGAGGTCCCAACGTTGAGTGGGACTAAGGTGGCATTGCCCCAGGTAGGCTATATTTTTCTTTTCATTAATATTAAATGGCTGTATTGTGAACACACTTCATACATCATGAGTTATTTGTTTTTCTGAGCTTATAAGCAATAAATTTCTATATAGAGGCCACTTAAAAAAATTGTTTTCATAAGAACTGGCATCATAAGGATTTAAGATATGTCTGAAATTAACCATTTCATTGTTTTATTTATCGCCTTTATACAGTTGTTATTGCTCAGCATTCTATGTTTGCTGATTATCTGATTTTTATGGGGTTAGTTACATGTTTAATTATACATTGTCTTTTTTTTGTACAGGTATTATGGCTGCCCGAGGTATACTGGCCAATCCTGCAATGTTTGCTGGCTACCAGAATACACCAGAACAATGTGTTAAAGATTGGGTAAGTCACACATTTAAAAAAAAAAAACAAACATATTTTCTTTTCTAGGACCTTAAGCTTGTGCTGATATTGGAAAGAAAGTCCTTATATTTTGTGTACAGATTTTATAAGCAACAAGATTTCCATATCCACTATACCCTCTGCTGTATTTCAACTAACTTCATGATGCCATTCTATCAGAACTTTTTACCTATTCATGCAGTTGCTTTGTTGGTGGGGCCTAGCATACATTAACATTTACTCTCTGAAGACAGGTACTACCATGAAAAGAAACTACTTACCAGGGGGATGCTTCAAGATTTTGGTATAGACACACGTCTAAATGTGACTAGTGTTTGCCTATAGATTCCAGTATGTAAAGGTAACTATTATATTAAGAAATGATTTTGACGTTAAATATCCAATAATGTTTGATATGTCTTAAAATTCAACAACGCCCAAAGTTTTCTGTGTAAAGATCTACTCTAATTTTCAACTCAAGTTTTCTCCTATCCTGGATAGGATGATAAACTACATCCATGTCCTGGGTAAGACGATAAACTACATTCAACATCAAGGCCTCTGATCAGGATGTTTTCAGGAGTGTGGAACCACCTCTTAATTGCTGATGTTCCCAGGTCCACCCTAACTTGGGATGGTAGCACCTGTTAGGGTCCCACCTATGGGTAAATAGTTAACCCCCAAACTGGGGTCAAAGCACCATGAAAGTGTAAAAATAGGTTTTAATACCAGCAATACATTTTTGTAAAAATATTACCATCAATGAAATTTTGAAGAAAAAATTATTAACAGCAATACATTTTTGGGAAAAATATTACCAGCAATACATTTAAAAAAAAAAATATTACCAGCAATAAAAATCTTGTCAGCATTAAATAACCCATTGAGGTTGATATGCTGAAAAACAAACCAAACCAATCACGTGTTCTCTGAAAGGATCTCATAGGTGATTCATCCCTTCCAAACTGACTATATACATACAGCATCAATTTCTTTTTTGTATGAAAATGACTTTTCGTCATTATTGATGGTTCATTTTATGTTGTCAGTAATTATTTGTATTTCTCATAATAACATATACACTTTTCTTTGCTTGCCACAATTTGGTTTAAAAACATAACAATTTCATTAAGTAGCAATTTGCAGACACAAATATGGTCAAGTAGAGTTTTTGCTTATGTGGAAGCCACACCTCAAAGTGACTAGCATAACGTAGTTGGTCCAAATGATTTTCAATACGTTTTTTGGATATTTTGAGTATGTTGACTATCTCCATCATTGTTAATGTCACTTATTTTCAGGTAATCTCTTCATTTTCAACTCACCAACTGATCTAAGCAACTGTTGATTATTATTGTGAATGCAAATACTTTTACAAACCACTTTTAGCATGTTTGATCATTAACAAAACCTTCTCCATAAAATTCACAAATCTTTGTTTACAAGTCAGTTTTTTTACATTTCTTTAAATAATTTCAGTGTTGCTGATTTTGTGGCTTTTTTTCATCATTAATGTTAGAATAAAGCAGCCATTTTCATCAGTTTAAAAAAGTATTCCTCTGTTCAATCAAAAATAAAATCTTTCTGAATGATGTTAATGGAGACTAAACACTCAAAATGCCAACTAATGACAAAAATTTATTTGATTACCCAAGATTTTTAAGTTTAGTTTTTACTGAAGTCACACCAGGTGCCTGAGAAAACTGTTTTAAGTTATGAAAGTATCACAAACTGTTGCTTGTCACTTTGATCTCATTTGCTTGCTCCAATATTATGACTTTTGAGCCCAGTTAAGCAAAACTCAGTATCTACATAGGGCACTTGCTGTGGAACATTGCTTAGCAAACCATTCCTGCTCACTATTCCAAATGATTCTCACTGGCTGCCCAGCTATTTTGATCTTGTGCTTAATAAATATCTCCAAGTTGCTTCACATGTGGCAGTGGTTAGCAAGCTTCTCTTGTAGGTCAGTGATTTGGAGTTCAGTTCTTATTGAATGCTTTAGCTTCATGTCTGACCAAAACTAAGTAAATATTTTCATGTAATGTTTCAAGTTTTGAGTTAATAAAGTGAAATGCAAAAGAAAACCAGTCAGAATTTTTGGAATTGCTGATTTATTTATGATTTCAGGTATTATTAACTTATTCTGGATATCAACATCTTCATGGGTTATTTAATACCAACAAGATTTTTAGAATAGATGAATAGAATATGTATTCTTTGTAAGAAATCAGTTTGTGGATCAGGTTTTATTGACGTATTCTTTTTTTCCAAAATGTATTGCTGGTAATATTTTTTTTTTTTTAATATAAAAAATATATTTTTATACTTTCATAGTATTTTGAACCCATTTTGGGATTAACTATTTGCCTATAGCTGGGATCCTAACAGGTGCTGTCACCCCTGTAGTTGACTATCAGATGTAATGAAATATGGATTATTGCATTTAATTCTCTTTTATTTTTTTATTTTTTTTGTGAATGTTACACATGCAACAAGGAAAATGCTTTCAAAAACTGATTGGTTCCCCTTGATTTTCACACACTTCTGGCCCCAAATTTTAAGGCCAATGAAAATAAAGAAAAAAAATATACCTTTTTGCATTGTTAGACTCAACCACTTATTTGAGTAGAGCTTCAAAAATGAAAATGAAAAATGTAAAATTTATATAATAATAATAATAATGGACTCTCCCGTCAGTTTCGATGTATGAGGATCTGACAGCTTAATTGATTCAGTTATGAAATTTTATGCGATAATCTTAAGTGGCACTTAAGACCCGCTAGTGATTTACAAAGGAGGCCACATATGGAGCAAGAGTGAGGATTGTCAGATGAGATCACTGTTAGATTGGCTGGCCTTTTAGATCTTGCTCTCGCTTCTTGAAGATGATTCAGACAAGCAGATTGAAAAATGCTGTGTCCACTAAAACACGTTGATCTCCATTCTACCCACTCCAAGGCTAAGCACTCAAGGGTGTTATGTGGTATATTGACAGTATATATATATCAAATTTCAAGTTTCAAATTTCAAGTTGGCAGTGACTGACTATAACTGCCAGTTTCATATTCTTTCATGCAATCATCAGGCAGTTGGTGACTATATTGTGTGAAAATAGGAACCCTTATACTCCTAGGCAAGTCTATGATGGTAAGAATGTAGACAGTATGTGCATATCCTTCATATACCAACCAAATTCACAAGGGGGAGGGTAATTTATCCAGTCAGCATCAAAGTAGCCATAAATATCACAATTAATTAAAAAAAAACAACAAAAAAACACCAGAAATGATTCACCTGTGCAACCCCACAAAAAATGCTGTCATGGGGAACAGTAGGGCTATGGTAAAGAAGCTTACTGCACCAGGCTTTTAAAGTCAGCTGTGACAGAGCATTATATTAATAGCAATAAGAATAAGTAAGTCTCAAAAGAATCTGTTTAAGATTCACACTGTAGAAGTCAAGTGACTTACCTGCTAACATGGCTGCCTTCTTGTGTCTTGTTAGAAAAGCAAGCCAGCTAATTTTACCTCATTTATAGGAGAATACCTAATGCACCAGTTGGGTTGGTCCATTTTGCTAAAATAGACCTGCCCAACACATTTGCATGAGTGGTCTCTATTCACCCATATATATCTCCATTAAATGACTCTGGTCAGTTTTTACTTGTGATTACACCAGTCTACTTGTGTGTCAGACCACTTGTAAGCTAACCAATATTCTACACACACAAGAAAAGAGTGCTCAATGCCATGTTAAATACCAGAGCTTTTAATATAATTTTTTAAAATCAAATTTAATGGGTGTACACACTAAAATATATCTGCAGTTAACAATTATCGGAACTTTTGAATCAATGCAATATAAGTTGTTATTCTTTGTAAGATTATTTTTCTTTATATAGGAGTGTTGAAAGGGCGGAGCTAATGTCCTACCGCTGGAGCTAAATCTTTAGGAAGATGAGATATATAAGGTGTGTTTGGAAAGTATCGAGCCATTTGGAATATATGTAGAATTGATTGTGCGACTTTGATGCAAATTAACATCCATTCAGAGACTGATGTATTTACTCAGTTGGTATTGAGTGTAATTGTTGAATTCAGTGACTGACAGTAAATTTTATTACCATTTAATTCCAACTTTATTGTGGAATAATTGACTTGCATAATAAAATGTGTGTGTGTAGGTAAAAAAAAAAAAAATATGCCCAGCTCCTGGAAAACAAAATATTTAAGAAACACACATACATATATATATATATATATATATATATATATATATATATATATATATATATATATATATATGGCCTGACAATTGCGTCTAGCATGAAACAGCCTGTCAGCTCTAAGTGTTGATTTCATTTTTTCACTTTTATATTTACACATGCTCTATCTCTGCTATTGAGCATTTTATCCCATAAATATAGCACACCTGAAGAGTATATTTCTTCATATATATATATATATATGTATATATGATTGTTTATACCCAGATCCTGGAAATAGTACTCTTGCTGTAGTTACACCAACACACACATACACACGTGTGTGTGTGTGCCCACTAATATACATGAAGAATACTTGTGTGCAGTTCTATATAAAATGTAAATTGATTCCTCATCCCAGCAAAACTTAGCATAACAAATGTGAACATATATATTTCTGTGTATATCATCTAGATGACTCATTTTCTTTATCTCTCCACCCAAACTGAATGCACAAATCTTTTGCATAGCACCAATCCATTCTCAAAATGTCTGCAAAATGTTAGTTTCATTTTGTATGAACCTTTCAGATTGCTCCTTCATGGCACATAACACCCAGCTCCGCCCCCCGGCCTTGCCTTGAATGAGTTTCTCTTCACCCTTCTTATGGCTGACGTCAAATCTCTGACGTAAGTGAGCCTTGTATTATTTGTGTGCCATACATCTTTTACTTTTAGCTTTGGTAGGGCATATTGCCAATCCACCTTCATCAATCTCCTTTCTCTCTCTTCCTCCTTCAACTGAACCCCCCCCCACTTTTAAAGTCTGCAAGTTATGGGTA